AATGTACCAAGTCCACGGTCCGACGCTAGAAATTATCATACATACTATGGATTCCGGATAAGGTAGGTTCGTCTAAGTCTTCCTGACCAAATTGCGAAACCATGGCCAAGTAACTAAGTATATTTGTGCGTTTTTTCGTCAAGTATCGTAGCAGGATGATAAGCCGATGACCTGTACAATCCATCAGTCTTCGCTCCAAGGCAATCCTCCAATGGTTTTCGATGATACTAATTCACAGATTCCTTTCAGCGAAAAGTCGCGTCGACAACGAATAGTTGTATGACTTGGTGACACCGAGTAACTGATTCAACGAAAAGAAGTGAACTTGCGAATGGAAATAAACAGGTTAAAAAAGATGCGGTTGTCATCCCTGTTCCTGCTCACCTCGTGACCCTTGGCCTCGAGAAGCGACTTAGCATGAAGTACAGCTCTTTGAGCAGCAGGCACAGGCACAAATGAGCCATCGAAGACAAAGAATCCTATGCGCAGCCGCGAGGTTTTCGTGAATAACTGAGACCGCAGCGCATCATAGGGAGACATAACAAGGAATAAAGCGAGAATAATATCGGGAGAAAGCATTGTATATCGGTGTGCCTGCTTCGCGTTATCAAAGTATTTATACTCTATAAAAAATAAAGCTAAACAAATAAACAACGATAATGCTTCAGTTCAGACAAATACAACAGTAGAATTAACTAATAAAAGATGTTAGGACATCACAATAATAATAAATAAATCTTTTTTTAAACTGTAAAAATAAGACAAATAAATAAATAAAAAGTGAGAAATAGCAAGGAACAGTAGTCCAAATGGAGAACAATAGGTCAAATTTTCACGAAAATAACTTCAACAAGGTCGAAACTAGCCCCACCACGAGAAGACCAACATAAAAACGATGAGGACTTTTCTGACAACATCAAATGAGGCAAAAGGCTAGATGGGGATTATACGAAAGATAAACACTCATTGAAGGACATAACTATGTCTAAAAGTATTCACAGTTGAAAAATCAGATTAACTTACAGCTTCATCAAAGTTAAGAGGTACAATCTCTGGGTCCTCTATTCGCTGGATGGGGGAGTTGAAGAAAAGTCTCATCACTTCGATGCAGGAATCGACGTCCCGACATAAAGGCCCCCAAGTCGCTTCGACTAAAAGCGCAATAAAGCAAAGCAATCTCGTTGTAGACGTAAAAAAGAAGACTAAAACTATCATTGGGATGCCGGCATATTTTGCTTACCGAAAGGTTTGGGGCCTGTTGAAAACGTCCCTTTTGAGCTGAAATATTTTTAAAGGAACCTATTGACATCTTGATAGTGAAAGTATTGTATAAATTTGACGAATTTTTGAATAAAGTTCAAGAAAAGCTTAAATTCATAAGCAATTTGAGCCATTCTTACAGGATGTGAGATCAAGTCCCGTGGAGAGTTCTAGTGACGTCTAAATGAGACCTTGACTTGAGGTCACTCGGGATGGGAACATATTTTAGGGGCAAACGGTGAAAGTGTCTATCAATTTGT